GCACCTGGTCATCTGAATTTCATACCACTGGCTAAAAGATTTCTTAGGATACAGACAGAAAGTTTTCCAAGGAAGTGATCCACAGCCAGCTTCAGTTTTCATCTGGGGTGTGTGTTTTTCATCCCCCCTTTCTTCGGGGGGGGGTGGGGGGGTGGGGTCATGTTCTATCTTTCTATCTTTTGTGAATTAAAAACTCATTGGTCCCAGTGGAGGGTGTCAGGGGGATTGGAGTAGGTACAGTTCAGTATTGCTTGTGGCATATTCTAAATTATCCTCTTAATTTGGGGCCTGGAAGAAGTAAAAGGTACATGGGGAAAGGTACAGAAACCTGCTGGAGGGCGTTTGTAGTAAACCAGCCCAGCAGTGACTCAGGCAGTGATGTTGTATTAATAACACTTGGAAAAAAACCACCAGAAACGGAATCTTCCTCCTTAATATTGTTCTTCTGCTCGTTTACAGAACTGTATTTAAACCCAAGAAGTAAGCTGGCTGTAATTAAGTGGCCTAGCCCACCATCAGCTGTTCTCCCCTTCCATGTGCACTTAGGTGTTTGTTTTCCCTGTTGTGTATTTGGTGGAATAGTGCTGCTGCGGATGGGCAAAGGAACTGCTAACAGTTTTAATGATGTATATTTTGATGATTCATAGATTGATCAAATGTGCTGTTGCTATTAATATTCAGCCAGGGCCCTCTGGCCCTTGGTATGTGTGTTTCCTTGCTGTCTGTCGCAAGGATTTTGCCTGTGTGTAGCATCAATAGCTGGGATTGGAGGGTGGTGAGGTCCATCGGTCAGTTGTACACCACTGATAACTGTCTGAAGTAACTGCTCCTTTCATTTGATTTTTTTAAAGTCATGTTGTCGACATGAAATCCGTCAGGTTGAATGCTGAGGAGCTGGTTGGCATCCCTGCAGTGCCATGGAGTGGTGCTGAGCCGGGCCTTGGCACCTCTTCCCTGCACAGGCAGATCCTTTGTTTGCAGAGCGCACATCAGGGGCTCCTCACAGCCCTGAGCATTGCTGTGACTGTGCCAAGGGCTGTGCAAGTGTTAGAGCTGTGAATGGGAAGACAGTCAAGCTGCTGGCTTGAGGTTTGCATGGGGAATGCCCTCCCGGGGGTCCACAGCATGGCCGGGGTGCAGGGACATCCCTTCCGTGCTCTTCCCACACAACTGAGGTGGAAATAACACCAAAACCAGGACTGTTTTTACAGTGCAGGGAGCAGAATAAAGCACCTCCCTCACACACACCTTTTGTCTCAGGCTGCTGGTGCATTGAGAAAGGGCTGTGCAAAGTTTCTAGGTGCTGAGTGCCCATGGAGTGAGCCCTAGGGCTGGGAAAAGGGGGAGTACTTGGGCACAGCGCTCCCAGAGCATCCAGCCCATGTGCTGTCCTCAGCCCTTGGAGCCAGCTCTGAAGACATGCATAAATAATGAAGGCAAGGTAGTTACACACACATGTTTTATGGCAAATGGCTGTGTGGTTCCTGATCATTTTTTCCAGAAACAGGTTTTATGATAATATAGTAAAAATATTAAATTAGAAAATGCCTCACTAAGGGTGATAAAACCTTACTACAGTGGAAATAGGTAATTATCCCCTCTGCAGCCTAAATGACAGTTTAAAAGAAATAAAAATGTTAGTGCTCATTACTTGCTTTTGTAGGTTGCAATAAAGGGTAAGTTAAATTTTAATTCAAGGAAGACCCCTGTATCGACCTGCTTCTTCCACACTCTCTACCTGAGGTGTAAGTGCTGTTAATTACTCGCATAGGTTACTCCTCAGCACATTGCTAAGACCAGCACCTCTTTGTGCTGAAGTCCCCTTTCCTTTACCCAGAGGTAGCAGGCTTGCAGCAGGGTGGGTTGCTTCAGCTCAAGTCTGGTGTTTAATATATGTGGGTGGAGGAGAGGAATTTTGTATGTTTTAACCAAAATCCAGGTTCATTATGCATAGCCTTAAGGGGGCTGAAAGTATTAAAATCCACACTTACCCTGGTGAATTGAAACAGAGACAAGGTTAAACCTGGAGGATTGATGAGTTTTACTCTCTGCATGGTTAAATCCTGCTGAGGGGAGATGCTGTAAAAGGAAGGTAGCCCAGATGATGAGAAGAGGGGGGAAAAAGATTGTGGGTTGGGGTATTTCCATTCAGGGTGAAATATTAGTTCTCTTTCAGGATGAAACATTAGTTCTCTTTCAGGATTTACCTGATTCCCCTCCTCCTGCTGCTCTTTGACAGTGTCTGCCCATGCAGTGTTATTATCCAAACAGCTCCACTTGGATTTTGACTTAAACAGAGGTTACCAGCCCAGGAGGTTGGGGCTGCGGGGTGCTGTGAGGTGCAGGGCTCCCTGCCTGTGGCTGTGGGTGCAGCCCCCCCTTTGCACCCATGAAACCCAGGGTGTGAATGTCAGATTCAGTTGGTGCTGGCAGCGTTTCTCTGCTGGTGAAGATAAATTCTTGCTTGAATTTCTCTCCCTGGGCCCTGCTTGCTTGGAAAACGGCTGTTTATGTAAAATCTGTAGGGTTGGAGCAAATGCTGCCATGATCCCTGAACTCTTGTACCCATCAGGAGGCTATCAGGAACCCAAAAATGAACACAAAACAGAGGGGACTGGTTCTCCACCAGTGGGAAAGGCCAGGGTGAGCTGCAAAGAAACATTGCTTTTGGCTTTTGCCAGCTCACCAGGAAACCACCAAAACTCCTGTTTCTGTGGTTGGTTTCTGTGGCATTCCCCAGAATGTGCCCATTGTATTTGGACTTCCTTGAATGTATAAGAGAAGGGTGTATGTAGAGGAATTGCAGGCAGGAGCCCCTCTGTGCAGTGGAGGTGATGTTTGGGAGGAATTCCCCTTGGAATGCTGCAGAATGCCTTTGAGGTGTGCTTGGCAAGCAGTGAGAAGGTTTGAAGCTTGTTATCTGTGAGTGAGGCTTGTGGGCAAAACAAAAGTGGTTTCTGTTGCTCACTGGCACCGGGGTGCGGGGAAGGAGAAGGCTGCATCCTATGGGAGAGGTAACAGCACATAGCAGAGGGAGGGGAGCAGGAATGAAAGTGGACGTTTCCCTGGAAGTGCCCGAGCTGCTCAGCCTCTTCCAATGGGGTTTGTCAGCTTTGGCCACCTGCCTGTGAAACGATCTCCTATCAAAGCACCACTTTGAGCATTCCCTCTCTGCTCCCGGCACGTGAACCCCGCTGCTGGCCGGGGATGCCATCGATCGCAGCGCCGGGGGAAGCGGTCGTTGCTGTAATGCGGGGGCCTGAGCCGAGGGGGCAAAGCCGGGCTGAGGGTTGTGATTGTCAGAGGACAAAACAGCAGCATTCTGCATCTCCCTTCTGAGCACTGACACAGCCTTAAGGTCACATTGTCCCCATTGCCGCTTGCCACCTGGTTTCTCAGTTGAAACAGCAAAAGTGAGTTGCATTTATCAGATAGGAGTCAGCAAAGATGGAAAATGGTGCAGGTTTGGGTAAGGCGTTCCTCTCCCTCCTCTTTTTTCCTTTGAGGTGTCAGTACTCACAGCTTTTTGTGCGTCAGCCCTGTTTTGTAGAGGTGTTCTGATTTGGCATTTGTGTTAAACTTGCCATAACCCCTGTGCTCGCTCCCAGTGTAACACACAAGCTCCAGCTGGGGTTTCACACTCTGTACACACAAAACACAGCATCAACCATTTTGTCATATAAGGAGATGGGCACGTCCCTCACCAAAGCCTCGTTTGCTGAGGGTAGAGCAGTGATGGGTTAATTAGCTGCTAAATGAGAATTAATGGGAGAGATGTGGCCCTGTGAATGAGGATGGTGGCTTGTCTCAGTGGTCCATGTGTGTCTGTCCATCCTCCTGCATCGCCGGAGCTGATACTTGGTTCCTTGTCTTCCTGGGATTAATGGCTGGCGTTTTCCTGCCATCAGACCTCAGAAGTTCCCTCTTTCTCGAGGCTGACAGGTAACTTTCTGCAGTGGAAGCGTCTGCAGACAGTTTTCAAACCAGTTGCCATCTCTTATTGATCCGTGAAGGAGCAAAGCATCAAAGCAGCCCCTAGCGAGGGTGGTCCCTGTTGTAGCCTCCATTGAGGCAGCGGCTGAAATCACAGTGTCTCTGTCAGGTCTGGATTTCATCCTTTGAAGCCATGTGTTATGCAGTCTTGAGCAGTGGAGAAGTCTCTTTCCTCTTGTCTGTGATGACAGTTTTCCAGGAGCAGCTTTCCCAAGTGCTGGCCCTGATGGACCACTGAGACACTGGCCGCCAGCGATGCATCAGTTGGTTACTGCTCTGAAAACCTGGTGATGATCAGTGTGTTCTGGAGGAAAAAACCCCATCCTCCCTGTAACCATCACTCCACTCGTGTGTGCCTGGCACACCAGCCTTAGAAAATAAGGCTCTCCCAATGCGTTTCCCTTGATTTCCAGATACCTCTGATTTATAAACATGCACTCTCCTTTCCCCATCTCTCATCTCGGGCTACTTTGGTTCTAAAAGTTAAAGATAAATACACCACCAGCCCACTTCATTCTTGTAAAAGGGAAGCTTGCTCCTGTTACCAGAATTGCTGCCTGGGTGCTATTAATTGGAGTCTTGTTGCTGGGTTGTTTTCGTTGTTTCTCAAGTACCGTCAGGTCCAAGACAATGTATGGAAGCTGAATTATAGTCCCATGTAGATGCGTGGTTGAATCCTCCTCATGGCTCTGTGGGCTCAGCCTATTAAAATATTCAATCTTGGTTTCTTACTTGACAAGCCTGTCTGTAAAGGGCAGACTTAGAGAACACCTCATTCTCTGGAGACACGGTACCCAGGCACACTGAGGTGTGTACATACTTGCCTTGTGCGTGTGATTGGTCTTAGGCAAGTTCTCCCCTTCGCCCGTATTTGGTAATGAAGATTGTTGAATGCAGTTTTAATTACTCATGGCCTTTTCATTTTAAGGAGGGGATGGGTTTGCAGCCTCCTGCTTCCATTTTGACCTTGGGAAGTAACTTGTCCTCCTCCTTCCTCTTTTCCCCAGGACAGAGCTTTATCGTTCACTCTTTGGAAAGATCTCCAATCCCCAAGAACCGGAGCAGAATTAGCAGGGATCGACCACAGCAGCGGGTTCCTCTCCCTGCACTGGACACTGCCCCATCTCCTGCTGTCTCCTTGGTCTGGGCTGCTGCTCGTCTGACCCAGAGCAAGGTCTCTCCAGCTGCTGGTTTGTTGCTATAAAACCCCACTGAAGGAGCATCCGATGCAGTTTCTGCTGAATCACACAGGCTCAGAAAGGAGAGCAGGGAGGTTCAGCTTGGCTGAACGCCCTCTCTCTGCCTTGAAAATGAACTCTGCTTCCTCCCAAAGACAATCCAGCTTTAACTGTTCTCTTTGAAATTCCTGACCTTGATTCTACAAGCTGGGCACAGCGTTCTGCCAGGGGGACACACACGATTCAGAGCAGAGGGACCACCAGCCCCCCCTGCAATCAGGTCACCCACGTTTGTATTAAATCCGTAGAGATTTTCATTTGGGAGACGGGGGGATTGCTGGAGCGTGCTGTTCTGGTGGCTGGCTGCATATCTGGAATGTGTGACTTTAGTTTTCAGCGAGTCAAGAGGATTTAAATGTCATTTACATAATTAACATGGCCTTAAAACAGAGAAAAGGTGCTCTCGCTTGCAGGCAGCCAGAGCTCCCTGTTCACACTGTTTCTCAGTGAGCTCTCAGTGCACACAGGGATGTTTGCTGACTGGTGATGAGCACAGCACTGGGGTACATCTGGGGCTGTTTGCTGGTGGAGTCCAGCACTGATCCTGTGCACTGAATCGTTTCTGCCAATCATGACCCTGAGCCGTCCTGTCTTCACCTTCACCATCACCATCACACGCTGCTGGGGGATGCCAGCATGGGTGTAAAACTGGCCGGAGGAGAGGACTCATGTGAGGGGCTTGTGGGGTGTTCATATCCAAAGGGCAGAAGCTGGGAATTAAATCCCTGCAAGGGGGATCTGTCAGCCTGCTGTGATCAATCTGCAGTGAAGGTTATCTTGCGTAAATAATCGGTGCATACATGTGTGTGTACGAGGGCCGTTGCTTGTGGCCACGTGAACTGAGCTTTGTTTTGTGTGTTTTGAGCAATCCAATTAAAATGCGTTGTAACCTGGTGATCCAAGTGTGGTCAGGGCAGGAAACCCCACCAGCACGGTGTCACTTCACCAGCACTGCTTTGCCCATCCCCGTGTGCTGGGGGCTCTGAGGACACCCGGCACACAGCATGGGAATGTAAAGGCTTGCAGTTGTATTGACGTGTTTGTTGACCGTTTCTGAACTCCATGGGAAGGTCAGTTGGATTTTTCCCTGCCCATTGGGCTACAGGATCTCACTTCAGTTGTTCTTTGTTCCTAAATAAACATGCATTCTGGTTTTAAATGTGTAACAGGTTAGGTCACAAGGAAGGAAGCCCAAGCCATGAACTCTGCTTCAGGTGAGACCCTGTGCACAGGTGATGATCCCACTTTGTATCTCCATGTGGGGATTGCTCCTGTCCCTCTGTTCCTGTCTCTGCTTGAAAAGGGCTGTGCTACAGCACAGGTTTATCCTTCTATCCCCTCAGAAGGCTTTCTCAGTCCCCAGAGCTGTCTGCAGACCTAATACTAATTAATCATTTTTGCCCCTCATCATTACAGATTGAAGTCTTGGAGTCACCTGCTTCCAGTAACTGGCTTCCTAACACCTCCAGTGATGTATGGGGAGAAAAGAGCCCTCCACAGCAAGAGAGACCCAGCTCAGCTGCAGAGACTTGCCTGGAACAAGTTGCTGTGTGAAATCACAGAGGGTTTGAATGCTGTTTAACAGCAGAACAAGTACACCTGTGTGTGGGGATGGGTATTGCTGGGTTCCACCAGCCTGCACAAAGCAGATCCTGCAACTCCATGTGAGGGGCTGCTCACAGAACTATTCCTTTGGGAAAGGGGTTTCTTTTGTGACTTGCTGTTTTAAAGCAGGGCATAAAAAGTGTGGTAATGCTGCTAAACCCAGCTCCTCCAACTGCTGCTCCCAGGAGCTCTGCTGCCTTTCTGCCCTGTCTTTAGGGAGCTGCTGGCTCCAGAAGCCATCAGAGCTTTTCTCTTCCCTGTTCCTCCCCGGTGCTGGTCCTCACCCCTCTGGATCGATGCAGGGAGCAGCAGCAGCATGGGGCAGGCTCCAGCCCTGTGCAGAATGGAGCATTTTTCTTGGCTTTAGAAAATAAGCAAGTGCCAAGGTGAGTATTGACTTTGTGTGGAAAACATGCGGATCATGGATGAATAAATCTTGGTGCTTGCTCGCAGCGGAGCAGGAGCTGCAGCTCGCAGGGAAGTGCATTGATTTCTCCTGTTCTTCCCCCCCCTGCAGCTCTCTGGTCAGGATTTGCCAGGTGGAAAACACACTGAATGTCACCGTTGGCTCCTCTCTGCTCCCTTTCTGCTGCTGATGACCTTGTGCACAGCAAGAGAGCCCAGCAGCACTGCTCGTCCCTGTGTGAAGGTGCCAGAGTCGCAGGTAAAGCAACATGCAGGGAGCTGTGGGGAGAAGGGCCCGGAGGCTCCATGGCTGCAGGGAATGGCTGATCTTTAAGCCACCAGTGCTGGGATATGGTGAGTAATCCCGTGTTCATTGGTGAGCCAGTTGGTTTAGTTTAGGCTGATGCCTGTCAGCGGCCTCCTCTTGGTGTAACCATCATCCAAGGCACATCCTGGCAATGGTTCTGTCCTCTGTCTATCCTCCATTAGTTCCAGCTCCCCAGCAGACGCCGGTGTCCCCACCCCTTGAACTGTACCTGCACTGATTTCTCAGCAGCAGCAAAGCTGTGTGGTCTTCCAACATCATTAAAATCTCATGGTTTAATAACCACCATTCTGGAAGGCATCAAGGGAAGTAAATCGGCTGCTTCCAGAGTTGGTGGTGGTGGAATGGGTTCATGCTGCTTGCACTGTCAGTGCATCAAGGGTGTTTAACAGAGAACACCATGGCCCTGCCCTACTCTTGGTTTGCTGTGCTGGCAGGTTGTTGGGGTGCTGCCAGTGCTGTGCCACCCCTTTCTGCTTGACTCCTGTGTCCTTGACACTCCTAGCACCAGGGCATTCAATGTTTTACCCTTTTTTCCTATTTGTGAGTGGGAGCTGGCTGTAGTGTTAAAGGGTAACACAAATGCTTTACATCTGATAACTGCTCGTTCGCATTGTTTGAGGAGATAAGAGTCAAAGCCCTACTAAGCATGCTTTTGAATTCACTTATCAGTGCTTAACCAGCCTTTTCTCCTGCTGTCCCCTGTCACCACCTGGGTAGGGGCTGCATGGGGAGAACCTGGACTGGCAGTGCCCACTCACGAGTCCCGTTTCGTCTGCTGATGGTGCTGTTAAGAGCAGGGCTTCACTCCTGCTGTCGGAGCGGTTGCTCGCCTGGATTGGAGTGTGCTGCAGGAGGAGGTGCAGCCTGTGTAATCCCTGAGCAGCAATGCAGCAGAGAGGCTCCAGAGGTGACGTGCCCGTGCCCGTGCCCAGCAGTGGGATGACACAGCTCTGCCCTCCATGGAGGCACAGGTAACCGGGATGATTCCCACCCAGTTTTCCTCACGCTGCCAGTTAAGAGCAAGGGAGATGCCTCACACACCACCCTCCACCCCACAGGCTGTTAATTCATGATACAGCTGCTAATTAGTACCTACACAAACGGGCGTTACACCTTTGCCAAACATTGCAGAGCAGCTACGCAGTGGATCGGGGAACGATGCGTGCGATGGGAGGGACACAGAGGGGCTGTGTTAATCCTTCCCCCCCACCTTCCAACAGCAAAGAATTTCAACTTTCAGACAAACAACTTCATTTACAAGTGTGTCTCTAATTAGCTGCAGAATTAGTAAAGCCGAGTTTTCCCCCCATAGATCGGCCGGAGCCCCGGGGGAGGCTGGGGAATAGAGAGAATCGCATTTCCAATTATTTTGTTGAATTGCTAATTTAGTTATTGTGCCGGCTGTAATTGTGATGGGTATTGGGTGTGCAATTCAATTTGGTTTAAATATTTGTGGGAAGGCTGAGCAGTAATGGAGCTGACCTATTTCATGGCCCACATTGAGAGAAGAGACTAAAACAAAACACAGCACCAGAGCCACAGTTTGCCTCCGTTTGTATTTTTGATGTTTCTCATCCCTCTTAAGACTGTTGCTGCAACAAAAGGTTTGCGTTAAAAGATGATGGCACTTTGATCTTGGGCTTTGGAGAGCTCGCAGCTTTGGTGCTGCTTTTCGTGGGGGTTTAATATGTAGATATTTTAGGCTAAAGAGTTTTAAATGTGTTTCTGGAGTTTGTGGGCTGCCCCTCGTGTGTTGCTGTTGCCCCCCCCCCAGAGTTTTAACTGTCAGGATTCTGGGTTGAGAAACAACTGCTGGAGTTGTGTTGGGAAATGTGCCCCCATTTAACATCACAGGAATGCCTTTAAGGTGGGGAACTGCCAACAGGTGTCTGTGTTATCACCCTCCATCCTGGTGCTTCCTCTCCAGGGGCTCCTGTTGGCCAGGTCCAAGGCCACCATCCCACCCCCTTAAGGACAGTCACTGGGTGTTTGCTCACTGTTCCAGTCAGTGTCATGTTAAAGATGACAATAAATCCACGGAGGAGGAACAGGACCCGCTGACGCCACGCCGGGATGGTGGCAGTGGGCTGGGAGTGAGCCGGGACAGGGGGGACACATCGACACTGCAGGCAGCAGAGCTGTAATTCATTCTTTTATTAAAAGAAGTTGAGGTAAGTGAAAGACTTCAGCACCAGCAGAACCGTGCGGCCCGGGGGCAGCTCCCCCACCCCTGCCTGCCGGTGACCGCGTCCACCGCCGGGACGGCACCGGTGCCACTGCCAGGGAATAGTGCTGGAGCCCGACCTCAGACCAGCACTGATGCCACCCAGGGGCTGGGTTTGCCCCTGGATGAAGCGGAGCCTCACCCGGTGCCTGTACCTTGGGATGCCCCCCGAGCGGTCAACATTCCTGCCTGTCCTGTGTGTCCTGCTGCAGCGCACACTGGCATAAGGAAAAGCAGCTTTGGGGCTTGTTGAGGGGGGAAAAAAGGTCTTTTAAATGAAATTGGGGTTCTTAGCAAAGTCCTTCAGCTGACAGGGCTCCCTTGGCTGCTGGTCCCTTGGGAGGAGCATGGTTACCCTGGATTTGGGATGAGCTCCAGCATTGGCTGCATTACACTTCAGAAGGAAAAAAGGTACAGGTGTGAGGCACTGGCACCATCATTAGTTAACTCTCCCATTAAAACATTTCCTATTTATCTGTATTAAAAGAGGAACTGTAAAATGTGAACTACCTTTAAGACCATCATTGGGGTAAGCTCTCCAGTGCTAGTTAGACCAGATCCACTACAGTGTTTGCGTACTAGGGATTGACTGTGCTTCCAACCAGAATTCCACCTTTTCTGAGCTTTTACTAGTGTCAGGAGGCGCACGAAAATACAAAAGTGTAGCAATAAGCTGGGGCCTGGGCTGGGTCAGCCTGTGGGGATGGGTGCTTACCTGCCACACACGTTCCTGACCTGCCCCAAGAGTGATCATTGGGATTACCAGAAATCATTTCTCTTACATTCCCATCTTCCCGTGTGCAGGCAGTGATGGAGAAAAACCTCTGCTTGGATGCACTGGACCAAGATTTCCTTGTGCGTTTCTAACCCCATTGCTGTCCGTGGCTCTGGCCTTCTCCCCTCCCCTGTGTTCTGCTGCAGTTTCCCACTCCTACAAAAGGGATTAGCACTTACACAACGGGATGCTCGTGTCTGCAAACCCCTCTGAGTAAGCAGGGCAGGAGGAGCAGAGGTGTTTGAGCAGCTGCGTTGTGGTCTCCTCTCTTAACCTCCTCTGAGAAGAGCTTTTCACGCAGTTTGCTGGCCAGGTCTAAAGGAATTGGGCACAAAGGCAACGCAAGCAGGGAACAGCCCTCCAGAGTCCTGCCCTGACACCATGGCGGTCCCAGAGCCATCCCCGCAGCCTTCCAGGGCACAGGGACAGCCCTGAAACACTCTTTCCCCTCCACTCCTCCCAGGTAACCAGACAGATTGACCCAGAGCGCTGCTTCCCCCCCCGCAGGACACAGGCAGGACGGCTCTGGGCTCCCACAGGCAGAGCCCAGCCTTGGCGACGCGCTCACAGGGTCCCATTGGCACTTGTCAGCGGGCTCTGCGGTGCGCAGGCCTCACGGTGCCGCAGCACCCGTCATTGCCTGGCTGTGGCGCTGAGCAGCGTCGGTCCAGTCACGCTTTGTTAAATAAATAAGGTACAGGTAAGACAGCGGGGCCTGGGTTCCGCAGGCGCTTGTGTTTATCCATCACCTCCCTCGGGTCTCTGGCCGAGGAACACGCTTCCTCTGGTCAGTCTGATTGGAAACAATACAGATGTCCCGGTGGCAGCGCTCCCTGAGCCTCCCGGTCGCGGTACAGTGGGCGCAGTCAAGCAGACAAAGGGCAATTCTGAGCTGCTGCTTTTTATCCTCCACTGTACCGGGCAGGGGCAGCGTGGGAAATCGATGCTCTTACGTTGACGAAGGGGAGTCCATTGTGGAAAGGATCCGCACGATCTCGGCTCGCTGCGTGGGTGATATATGCTGGGTCATGTGCACTATGGAATCCATGGCAACCTCCGGATTGGCCTGGACCAGGCTGGAAAGAGGCGAGAGTTAAGTGAGGGCAGCCCCGGCACTTGAACCCGAGAGAGCTGGGAGCACCCGCACCCACACCCACACCCCGCCATCGCAGAGCCCCATCTGCAGAGAGACTGGTGGAAAGGATGGTGAGAGATGCCCTGAGTCAGCAGACATGGGGCCCTGCACCCACCGGAGCATCGCTCCCCGGAGCTGCTTTAAAAGGGGCCTCCAGTTTAAGAAATAAAAATGACCAAACAAGATCTGTTTGAATTCGGCCTCGTTTGTCTTGTGAGGGTCAAACTGGCTCCAATGGAGAAACTCCTGCAAGGAGGAGCAGATGATGCTCTACCGGTTATTTGGTGTAGTTCTGAAGAGCACTCAAAGGGAGCTGGGCTTTAAGACACTGAGCAGAGAGGAAACCAGTGCAAGAGGTCAGGGGCTAATAAAAATGAAGGTAAGGAAAGGTATGGATATTTCAGCCATGTGTGGGCAGCACAGCTCAGGGCTGAGCTCTCTTGGCTTTAGGAGAGAACGTACATATATATGCGTGTATGTATATATATGTATAGGTATGTATATATATGCATGTGTGTATAAACATATATATGCGTATGTATATATATGTGTGTATATATGTCTATATGTTTGTATGTGTGTGTGTATATGTATGTATGTGTCTATATGTTTGTATGTGTGTGTGTATATGTATGTATATATATGTATGTGTCTATATGTGTGTATGTGTGTGTATATGTATATATATGTATGTATGTGTCTATATGTGTGTATGTGTGTGTATATGTATGTATATATGTGTGTGTATATGTATGTATATATATGTGTCTGTATGTATATATGTGTGTGTGTATGTGTGTGTATATGTGTGTGTTTGTGCGCGTTTGTGTGTGTGTGTGTGTGCGTATATGTGTGTGTGTGTTTGTATGTGTGTGTGTATGTGTATATGTGTGTGCGCATTTGTGTGTATGTGTGTGTGTGTATGTGTGTGTGTGCATATGTGTGTATGTGTGTGTGTTTGTATGTGTGTATGTGTGTGTGTGTGTGTATATGTGTGTGTGTGTATATGTGTGTGTGTGTGTATATGTGTGTGTATGTGTGTATGTGTGTGTATGTGTATATGTGTGTGTATATGTGTGTGTTTATATGTTTGTGTTTATATGTGTATGTGTGTATGTGTGTGTGTATATATGTGTGTGTGTGTGTGTATGTGTGTGTGTGTGTGTGTATATATGTATATATCTAAGATAGTTTTCCATTACCTGACTCCAATGGAGTGTCTGTGCCCTGGCTCTGCCCCAGGAAAGGGCAGGGATGGCCCCAGAGGGTCCGATCCCTCTGCTCACGTCCCTGCTGGTGTGTGATCCTGCTCCAGGCACGTGCAGTGTCCCGGCAGGGGCAGGAGCTGCAGCCGCAGCCCCGGCAGAGGCCGAGCTCCGTAACCCAGGCCGTGCGCGGGCGCCTCACCTCCGGATCTGTTTGAGGATGTAATCCCTGGAGATGTATTTGATGTTTTCTCCCACCACGGAGCGAATTCCCTCCTCCTCTGTCAGCTGCTTCTCCAGCCACTCCACCAGGTCCTTGTTGCTGTCCCACAAGTAGCCCTGTGAACAACCCCCACGCGTCACCCCGTGTCCTGCTCTGCCCTCCCCATGCGCCCTTCCCAGCTCACAGTCAGTGGCAGGCGAGGGGGGAACATTCGGGGTCTCCACATCCCCAAAAGCCTTGGTGCCAGCTCCCCCTTTTCTCCTTTGCAAGATCATTTCACCTGGTACTTGCCTGGTAGTTGCCTACATAATAACTCAGGAGTGTGTGAGACTCCTAATAGCCTGCTCGCTCCTCTCTGCTCCTCTCATTTTCTTTACAAATCATTTAAGAATCGTTTTGTTAATGGTTTCCGGAAAAGCAAGTACCACCATTAGCACTCATTCATATTTATGTCATTTTATTTGGGTAATTAAACACAAAGCTCCTCATTTAAAGGTGCACTATCCTTCTCTGTTATCACTAACCAAGTCAAAGTCAGAATGACAATGAGCTCGGTGCAATGCACCGTGGGGTGAGCGGGCACCCTCCTGGCGCAGCATAGGGCAGACCCCAGCAGCTGCAACAGGGAACCTTGGACACTTGGGATGCTCACAGCTGTGCGTGTGGCCTGACTGGGAGCAGAGTGATTTGGGGCTGCTTGTGAGCAGGAGGCAGGAGAATCCAATGGGTGTTTGCACCCAAAAGTGAAGCCTTCGGCTGGGGGAGATGCAGCATCTTTGCAAGGGCCCTGGAAGCATCTTTCCCATCCTGCTGAGCTATGGCCCACGTCCTTAAACCCCAGAGAGGAGCACAAAGGCAGCACTCACCCATCCTCACTGCTCACCCCTCATTATACACTGAATTACCTGTTCCAAAGGCCAAGAAATTGTCTTCCCCTTCCCTGGGCTGCTCCAAAGCCGTGTTCCTCCGAATGATGATGGAGATGGTGCTGCACCCTCGGGTTAGAGCTGGCACTGCCATGAGCAGCCCCAAGCACAGACCCTACTCCAGCCCCAGCCCTACCTAACAC